AAGAGGATCTTGATGAAGATGAGAGATACTCCTTGAACTTAGCTTGGTCGAACTCATATTCGAGGCCATTGACCATTGCATCGACTTGAATGTCACTAGGCTACAACACTACGGTCCCGATGATAATGGGACTGTTGGCTCCCACTGTGGTCGCTAACGTGTTTGCTTTGGGAACGATTTCCTTTGCGATTTCCATTAAATCGTTTAAAAGAAACAAAAGAATAAGCTTTACAAGTATAACTCTCTTCTTCACAAAGAAAACAAAATTGCACTCCCTAATAACACGTACAAAAACTCCTACGTAGTAGTCTTTACTTGTGTAGGATTCTTTGCATAGGCCAAGGATGCGTTATCTGTGGACCAGGTCGGAGACGAAGAAGATTTAGGGTTAATATTTTAACAATGAAATAAGAACCGAAGTATCTTAGCAAAGTAAGACAAATACTCTTCTCAATTAAGTCAAGACCTGAACTCAAGGAAACATCAAAAGACTTCGAGAATACTCGTGAGTGGGTTAACAACTCTCTTGCTCTCAAAATTCGCCAAATGCCAGCTTTGTTTTTTCCACAAGTGTGTAGAAAAGTATTTATAAGGGTAGGAGACCGTAACCGCCAAAAAGAATGCAAACAGCCCCCTGGAAACTGTCTCATGCTTGTGAGACAGTTCCGAGTCTCATTCATCTCGCCGTTTTGTATTTGCTTTGCATTGGTTGGTCTTTTCTAGCTTTGGATGATGACATTCTTTGTCTTCTCACTAATTTAATCTGAGTGTGGGACCTATAGGCAATTTTTGCTGCCTACATCTTCGAAATATAGTTTTCTCCCACCTGCAACTGGATAAAATTGATACATATTTTTTTTCCTTACATCTTTGATAAGGGCAAATGATCCTTCACAGTTTGAATGTCCAACCCAGTAGCATGTCATGGTGAAATTTAAATACAATATCTCACAGGATCATAGGTGCAAACAAGGACAAGAAATAACATGCATCCGTGCCTACCATTAGCCAAAGGAAGTTATTATTCACAACTATAAACACTTACGCTGGCACAGTATAATATACGCTGAACTACATAAAAAAATGCCTTGACCTGGGATTTTTAAAACGTGGTGCCTTGCAACTGTAGGAAAAGAAAAGTGAAGAATGCTTGTTAAAGGGCGAAGATAAGTGCAACAGTTAGTTCCATACGGACAGTTTTATCAAATTTTCACTCATTCCCAGATTAAAATACTCATCTCTCGGTCATAGTAATATCTAGGAACGACCTAGGACCAAAAAGGTAAAAGATACACTTCACTTTTTTAAGAAAAATATACGAAATTTTAAAGCACCATATCCATACCTGATGCTTCCCATCAACGGCTATTACTTTAAAAGGATGCCATTCTGGCTTTTTTAGTTCGTCTTGCCACTTTGAACAATATTCTGCAGTTTTAATCTCTACATCGCCTCCAGGAAATCTTTCTTTGCATGCAATTTGAAATGCCTTGGAACAAATTTCACCCATTCTCTTTATTCCAATGAGCGCACGGCTGTTGCTTGACATTTCCTTCAGATTCTACATTAATTTTGAAGTAAGAGATTAAGGACAATAATCACAAAAAAATATTATAGCCTAGGGTATTCCTATGGATTAACCGATCTAGGTTCGGTTTCTTACATGGATGAGCTCTTTGCGAGCTTCTTGTAGCTCATCATTGGCACGTCTTTCCTTGACAACTAAAGTTTGATTAAGATCCTCCAGAGCTTCCATTTCTTCAACTTTGTCCTTCAGTTCTTCGTCCATTTCATTCACTTTCTTCTTGAGTGCCGCATCTTCTTCATCACCCATATGCTTCATCACCTGTATATTGCTTCTAAGCTGTTGGATTTCCAGTTCCATTTTGTGTTTATGATCTAACTGCTTCTCTAATTGAATTATCTTGTTGAACGCGTCCTTTTTCTCTTCCTGTATAACTTTGTGGTATCAAACATAAGTCTTAATCAAGAAATTTACTATGCATGATAAAAAAATTTTGAGAGTTTAACTAACCTCCTGTTTTTTAAGAAGGGACAGAACATCTTCATCAGCCTTCTGTTGCTCTTTAGTTGCCATTTGAAGGGAGTTGTTTTTCAGTTCATTCTGCACAAATCTCATATTTATCATTTTTGTGTGTAACTGCTACGTTCATGCTACAGATGCCATGTAATGAATACTTTTTACTTTTAAAACAAAAATATGAAAGTAAACATGGAAATCGTCATTTCATGTGTTTGCTTGAGTGATATATCATCCTTTGACAAACTTCAGAAAAAAGCTAAGTTAGCTACCAAAAACATAGCTTTAGATGCTGTAACTTACATAGCAAAAACTAGCATTGCTTTATGATCCAGTTCATTAAACTACACTGTTTCAAGATATTAATGAAGAGGAATAGTTAAAAATATGTATTATTTTCTCAACAACTAAATATTTTATTATGCTAGTAACTGGATATCTAACCATTAGTTTTCTGTACTGTCATTTGACAAAATAATCTGGGTCAAAGTGATTTACAATCCTTGTAAATGCGTAGAATCTACATTATTGAATGTGTATGAATATACTATCCATTATGGTAGTCTTCTTTAGTGCAGTGTGCAAAGGTATTTATGAAAACTGCATGTTCCGTTAAGTTTTAAACTGCACTGTTTCAAGATTTTAATGAAAAGGAATAGCTAAAAATATATATTATTTTTCTCAACAATAAAATATTATATCACTGACTGGATATCTAGCCATTAGTTTCCTGTACTGCCATTTGACCAAATAATCCGGGTAAAAGTGATTTACAATCCCTGTAAATGCATTGAATCTACATTATTGAATGTGCATGAACATACTATCCATTATCGTAGATTCGTAGTGCATGAACATACTATCCATTATCGTAGTCTTCTTTATTGCAGTATACAAATGTATATATGAAAACTGCATGTTTCCTTTAAGTTAATCAGGTATGGATTAACATAGAAGTTGAACTTCTAAGAACTATGCACCACGCCACTTTGTTTACTGTCAACATCCCATCATAACAGAGATGACAATACAATATTGTCTTCCATCAGGACATGGCAATCTCTTCAAATTAGTTTACAAGTGTCAACTGCCTTCATGAATTTCTCTGGAAAGAGTAAAAACAAAGATATTGGCTAAATAGTAGTCATCACACCAGAATTCGAGCTAGTATGCTCATCATGAAATTACAACCCAATTTGAGCTACTATGCTCATCATGAAATTACAACCCAACCTTAAGATTATGTCAATTTAGATGAGAACAAATGACAACACATTAAGAATGAGAAGCAAGAAAATAAATCTCCACTTTGAATCAAACCACCAAAGAAAAGCATTAGGTAAACTAAAGAGATCTTGAAAACAGTCATGTGAAGCGAAAAATGCTTCCTCAAGATAATATCAAGTCACAGGCAAGTTGTATCAGGAAATAACTCAAATACGAGAAAGAATTATCAGGCCTTAGAAACAAGATGATACCTTTTTCTTCTCATCTTCTAGCTTTCTACGATCAATATCATTTCGAGCAGCCAACTGATCAAGTTGCTTTTTTCTTGAAGCTAATTCTTCCAATTTACAATTCAGCTCTGATTTCAGTTTCTTATTTTCTCTAAAAATTCTATGTGAATGATTCCGGTTCTCTTCCTGCATCTTCTCAATTTCTACCAATGCACAAGAACACAAATTCTGTTGAAACTAGTCAGAGTTAAAAGTAAATTGGCAATAACCAAAAAGTTAATCAGCACTAAGTATATTCTTCAATAATTTGGTCAATATAATACAAGATAGGCTGGCTGATTAAACGATCATTTAACTTTCAACTTATGCCATTTCAAATTGAAGCAAAATCTACTAATTACTACGCCAAATTGTCCTCCCTAACTCAAACTTGATAAACCAGTTTAAAATATTTACATGGCCAATTTATTGGGCTTTGCTTAATATTGCTAATTGTCTTTCCTGACAGATACAATTGTTTAATATATAGAAAATTTCCATTCTCAGTCAAGGCAGCAGGTTATGACCTCTATGGCTGACATCCTCTTTTCTAGCATGTTCTACGTGTATAAGAAAATATTTCAAGATAGAAAGCAAACAACAAAAACAAACTCCAACATGATGCATACCTCTGTTATGAGCTTGCTGTAACCGTTCCTTCTCAGCCATCATCTTATCTAAGGACATAGTTGTCTGATTGTACTTACATTCAAGTTCATGTAAATGCTTGGTCTTGGCCTCTATCTCGCTTGCCAGATTAGCTACAAGTTTATCGGTTCTACGATTTTCTTCATTTGACAAATCGGAGACAGTTTTAAGATCTCCATTTTTTCGCAAATGCTCCCCAATGGGGCCAGAAGATTCATAATCGTCACTTCTTGCAACCCAACCATAAATGTCAAACCCACGGTGTCTATTTCTTTGCCAATCCTTTTTACCATCACTTCTTGCAACCCAACCATAAATGTCAAACCCACGGTGTCTATTTCTTTGCCAATCCTTTTTACCAAAACGTTCTGATTCAAAATGATTTTCAAATGCCATCGCATCCTTGAATCCACCCCAGTCTTTGCTGAAATCAACAACTGCATTCCCTGTATGACCTCTATGAGTCCATATTGCGTGAACTTTTACAGGGTTAAATCTAGAGAGCTGCTCTTTAAGCCTTGTTCCACTCTCAGCTACATATCTACCATCCTTGAATTCTGTCGGAACATTGACAATAATGCCCATCCACGGCCAAACAAACTTATCCTCTTTCTGCTTTGGAGGTTCAATAACCATTAGCTGCAGTGATGGACCTGCAGAATCAACAAGGTCATTCTTTAAGAATTTTTCCAGTGCCTGATGATCCGCTTTCAGTTTTGCCTTCCGATTAGATGCCCCGATTCCACTAGCATGCTGAAGCAGATCCTTGTACTGGTAATCTTGTTTCTTCTTGCCCACACAGAATGGGCATCTATATACACTTTCTGAGAATTTTACTTTCAATTTCTTTGTCCTTAAATACATGTAAGATTTGGCCACCAAGTCCTCTATGTCAGAATCACTTGCATCTGATGCTTCACCAGAGCTGTAATCCATGCCCTGCGGACAAGTGAAGCTAAAAAGAAAAACAACATTTTGAGTATCATTTAGTAAATATTGGCTGAAATACAGAATATTTGGAAAATGAAAACATATGCTTACGTGGTTTTTAATCGGTAAACTTTGAATTTTACAAAGCCTAACAAAAAATCCGGCCGGGCAAGAATATCTATTTTTTATGCTCTCAAAATATATGTGAACCGATGCACCATTGAAATGAATAAAAAAGGAGTAAAATGTGGAAAAAGAATTACAAATTATAATTTGATGAAATAGTGATGAGTAAAAACATAACATTTTATCCACGACATAAAAAAGAGCACAAAGACTAAACAAAATTTTAGCTGGGGGATTAACTTATTTAACTCTTATGTTTTTCTGAAAAAGTTAACAGCCCTCTCCTTAGTCCTTCCCCCTTAAAACTTTTGACAAATAGGGCCAAAGTCAGAGGACCATAACATTAGCCTTAATTGCAGTTTGATTTGCTATATTTTCCCCCATTGCTTTTATATACCTTCACTTATTTTTTGCACCACTTATTTACCCTAAAGTTTTTAAATTTTGCACTTTTATACCCTCAGTTACACAAAAATGAGAACCCCCTGTTCTATGCGACGATAACATGTTAATTTTAGATAACTCTTAATACTTGTTAAATTTATTGTTAAACCTATCAAAATCTTATTTTAAAGTAGAATTAGGGTAAGTTTAAAATAGAACTACATAATTTTAACAAGAAATTTAACAAAAATTAAGGGTTAATATTTTCTAAAATCAACATCTAAGTGTTGCATGAGGATTTTCAAGGGGGAAGCCGTGTTTTTACATGACTGAGGATGTTTAAGTACAAAATTTAAAAGGAAAAAATGTATATAACCTGACAGCACATTGCAAAATGGGTTGCCAGCTCAATGTCATGTGAGCCCCCTTGCTAGTCACATCAGGATGCTCACATGGCAGTGAGCTGGCAACTCATACCCAGTATCCTCATTTTAAAAACTTTAGGGTATATAAGTGCTGCGGAAAAACAAATGAGAGTATATGAGTGCAAAGTAGGGGAAACTATAGGGTATCTAACTGCAATTTAGCATCAAAATTATGGGGAACCCCATTTTTACGCTATTTAGCCTTTCTCTGAACCAACTTAGTGAAATTGTGTGAGAAAGCTTAACGAGAGCGATCAAATCTCCATGCAACCCAATCTAAACGATAACAAAACCACCCTTCTCTCTCCCCCATTTATCAATCTCCCTAAAAAAATACGAAAAAGGAAAAAAGAAAAAACCACATGATGGCCTTACATGAATATATTACATATGAAACCCTGATCCAAAGAACAATGCACTGAAAAAAACCACATGATGGCCTTACATGAATATATTACATATGAAACCCTGATCCAAAGAACAATGCACTGAACAAAAACCTACCCGATGTAGTTCAACTACAATCAACCCATGACAATCACTGATTGCATAAATTCTACGAAAATGAATCCAAACGTTTTTCCCCAGTATCTGTCTTCTCAATTCGAATGTGGGAGAGCTCAAAACAAACGACCAAATCTCCATACAATTCCTTCATCTGAACAGTACGGGGGGAAAACCCTAGCCAATGTAGCACTGCTACTACTATCTAGAAATAACGATAATGATCTGAAACTATTTGCAAGAAAAAAATTTAAAATTAGGGAACTAGGGTTTTGAGATGGGGGAAAAAAAATTTACCTGAAAAAGGAGTAGCTGCAGCGCTTTAGGGAGAGCACGAAAAGAAGCGAGGGGAATTACTATAGCAATCGAGACGGGGGCGCTTTCGTTTCTGCTGCTTTAATACTGTTGCATGCTGTATATAGAAGTATTTGTTTCGTGCACCCGCTTTCCGGAGAACTCGGAAAATCGCCAAGGCGAGAAAAATGGGACCGCTCGCTGGGTTGGTGTGTTTTGATTTCGTGGGGCCCACTGAGCACCTGACGGTGAGAACAGAAAGTCTACGGAATTCGACCACGTGGCGGTTTAATATCCGTCGGTTTACTCTATCGAACGGCGGAGGAGAAGGGATGCAAATAATTGAAATTTTTTGCTTGAGAATTTTCTTTTAAAGCTTTTTTAGTATTCCTTATTTGTTATGAAATGACCTGGATGTCCATTTAGTTTTTAAGAAATTGATATTCCTCTAGTATATTAATCTTCTTTCTAGAACAACACAATGCATGTTCTTGAAAGACTAAGTTCATGAATGAGTAATTAATATGATTCATGTATCATCATCTTAGTTTGTATATAAATAAAGGTATTCCTACCTCACTTTGTAATAGCAATGAATAATGAATGAAATAAATTTTCTCTCTACTTCTCATCTACCTTTTCTTCTCTACTTCATTAGTTTTACAACACGTTATCAGCACGAGACTCTACCATTGAAACAATCTTCTTCAAGTCCATTAGATTCATCGTCGGACACGTGTTGATATTTTGGATAAACTTTTGAGGTATAACTTCTCTTTCCAATTCAATCCATCTTTCACTATGACTAACTTTACAAAATAAGAATTTACGCCACTTGATATTTCTAGAAAGAACTGCTTATCTTGGATGTTAGATGTTAAAATATATCTTGCTACAAAAGGTCTTGAAAATACTATTGTGAAAGAAAATGAGACATCAAAATAAGACCGTGTCAAAGCTATGATTTTCCTTCGCCATCATTTGGATGAAGGATTAAAAACTGAATATCTAACTGTGAAAGATCCACTTACTATATGAAATAATTTGAAGGGGAGATTTAACCACCTGAAGTTGGCCGTGCTCCCAAAAGCCCGGTATGACTGGCTTCACTTAAGGCTACAAGATTTTAAATCAATCAGTGAGTATCAAAAGCCCGGTATGACTGGCTTCACTTAAGGCTACAAGATTTTAAATCAATCAGTGAGTATAATTCTGCAATGTATAAACTGGCTTCACTTAAGGCTACAAGATTTTAAATCAATCAGTGAGTATAATTCTGCAATGTATAAAATTATCTCTCAATTGTAATTATGTGGAGAAAATGTCACTGATGACGATATGTTAGAAAAAATATTATCCACCTTTCATGCCTCGAATATGCTCCTGCGGCAGCAATATCGAGAGAGAGGATTTAAGAAATACTTTGAATTGATTTCATGCCTCCTTTTGGCTGAACAAAATAATGAATTATTATTGAAAAATCATGAATCTCGACCTATTAGTTCTAGCACATTTCCCGAAGCGAATACAACTAAATCTCAAAATCATGGTCGTAGAGGAGGTCGAGGACATGGCCGTTATCGTGGACGAGGTCGTGGCAGATATGTGCCTTATAATCACATTGATCATAGCCGTGGTAGAAGACAAAACAACTCCCAGAAATGGGACAATAATGATAAGAAAATTAAAGAAAAGAAACATTATGAGGAAATATGCTACCGGTGTGGAATAGAAGGCCATTGGTCCCATACCTGTCGTACGGTAAAACATCTTGTTGACCTCTATCAGGCATCATTAAAAGGGAAAGGCAAAAATACCGAAACAAATTTTATTGATCAAAAAAATGTTTATGATGATCTTGATGATATCACACACCTCGATATAGTTGATTTCTTTGAGCAACCTGAAGTTACGAAATGATCCCATGATAAATATCCGACATTTTGAATTTTGTTATTTTCGAAACTTTTATGTAATTTTCTTTATGAATTTTGTAATTTATGGACTTTATTAATATTTACTTTTGTTTGAAATTTTCTTTGTTGTTTCTTCCTAAAGAAATAATGGATGCCAAATATTTGGGATCAAACAATGGTGATGATAATACTTGTCTCATTGATAGTGCTACTACACACACTATACTTAAAAATATGAAGTATTTTTTTATTTGAAAATGGAAGAAACAAATGTTAACACAATAAGTGGTAGTGCTAAATTGATTGATGGCTCCGGAAGAGCCACTGTATTTCTCTCCGAAGGAACTAAAATTGTCATAGATAATGCACTACTCTTGATAAAGTCTCGAAGAAATTTGCTAAGTTTTAAAGATATCCGTCGAAATGGATATCATATCGAGACAATGAATGAGACAAATGGTGAATACTTATTGATTACAAATACCATTTCTGAGAAGAAATGCGTATTAGAAAAATTTGTCTTCTCTATCTTTTAGTTTATATTATACAAAAATAAGTGCAGCTGAAATTTATCACCTTATAGACCAGAAGTCTACTAATCCCAATGATTTGGCATGATCGCCTTGGAGATCCTGGTTCTATAATGATGAGGAGAATAATTGCAAATTCACATGGCCATTCATTGAAAAATCAAAAAAAAATATTAAATTCTAATGAATTCTCCTGTGTTGCTTGCTCCCAATGGAAGTTAATTGTTAGACCATCACCAACGAAAGTGGGAACTGAATCCCCTGCATTTCTAGAACGAATTCATGGTGATATATGTGGGCTTGTAGATCCACCATGTGGACCATTTAGATATTTTATGGTACTAATTGATGCATCAACAAGATGGTCACATGTAAGTTTGTTATCTAGTTGCAACCTAGCGTTTGCGAGATTGCTTGCTCAGATAAATAAATTGCGAGCACAATTTCCTGATTATCCCATTAAGAACATTCGTCTAGATATTGCTGGTGAATATTCATCACATGCCTTTGATGATTATGATTATCCCATTAAGAACATTCGTCTAGATATTGCTGGTGAATATTCATCACATGCCTTTGATGATTATTGCATGGCTATTGGGATAAGTGTTGAACATCTTGTAGCTCATGTGCATACACAAAATGGTCTAGCCGAATCATTTATTAAACGACTTCAATTAATTGCAAGACCATTGTTAATGAGGTCTAAACTTTCTTTATCTGCTTGGGGACATACTATATTACATGCAGCAATACTTGTGAGAATTAGGCCGACAAGTTATCATATTTATTCTCTCTTATAAGTAGTTCTTGGTCACGAACCTAATATTTCTTATTTAAGAATTTTTGGTTGTGCGGTATATGTTCCTATTGCACCGCCTCAACGTACTAAAATGGGCCCTCAAAGAAGATTAAGGATATATGTCGGGTATGAATCACCTTCTATAATTAAATATGTTGAACCATTAATAGCTGATTTATTTACTGTAATATTTGCATATTGTCATTTTGATAAATCGCATTTCCCGACATTAGGGGGAGGTAAAGATCAACCGAAAAAGGAAATTACTTGGAAAATATCATTAGACTTTCTTGATCCTCGTACAAAAAAATGTAAACTGGAAGTTCAAAGGATTATACATTTATAGAAAATTGCAAACCAATTATCGGATGCTTTTAGTGATTCTAGAAGAATTACTAAATCGCATATTCCAGCAGAAAATGCTCCGATTATAATTGATATCCCAAAAGGACAAATTAAAAGTGCTAACGAATCTAAAGCACGCCTGAAGCGTGGTAGACCTCTTGGTTCCAAAGATAAGAATCCTCGAAAGAAAAGAGGATCAAATGATCAAAATATTGCTAATGACAAAATTCAACCTCCTGAAGAGCAAACTCCTGAAGAAAATGAAACTTTAATAAAATTTGTTATTACGGAAAAGAGTTGGAACCGAAGAGAAGTAATTGTCGATAATGCATTTGCATATAATGTAGCACTTGATATTATGGAAGAAGACGAGGATCATGAACCAGATTGGTTGATGAATATCGGCAAAGAAATGATTAGTCAAAATGGAAAGATGCGATCCAATCTGAATTAGATTCACTAGCTAAACGAAAAGTTTTTGGATATGTAGTCCAAACACCTGAAGGTGTAAAGCCAGTAGGATATAAATGGGTATTTGTGAGGAAAAGAAATAAGAAAAATAAAATTGTGAGATATAAAGCAAGACTTGTAGCCCAAGAATTTTCACAAAGACCGGGATTTGATTATGATGAGACATATTCTCCAGTAATGGATGGAATTACATTTAGATATCTTGTGAGTTTAGCAGTACATGAAAACTTGATATGCGTCTGATGGACGTAGTCATTGCTTATTTATATGGAACATTAGATAATGATATCTATATGAAAATCCCTGAAGGATTTAGCATGCCTGAAGCATGTAAATCAAATCCTAGAGAAATGTACTCTATTAAGTTGCAAAGATCTTTGTATGGACTCAAGCAATCTGGACGAATGTGGTATAATCGTCTTAGTGAATGTTTAGTCAAAGAAGATTATACAAATGACCCTATATGTCCACGTGTTTTCATAAAGAGGAATGAGTCAAAATTTATGATCATTGATGTATATGTTGATGATCTTAATCTGATTGGAACTCCTGAAGAGCTCCAAAAGGCGATTGAATTTTAAATAAAGAATTTGAGATCAAAGATTTTGGTAAAACTAAATTTTACATTGGTTTACAAATTGAGCATTTAGAAAATAAGATTTTTGTTCACCAAACTACTTATACCCAGAAGGTATTAAAACGGTTCTACATGGATAAAGCACATCCATTAAGTACCCCAAAGGTTGTCAGGTCATTTGATCCTGCTAATGATCCTTTTAGACCAAAAGAAGAAGAAGAAGAAGAAGAAGAAGAGATTCTTGGTCCTGAAGTAACATATTCAGTGCAATAGGTGTACTAATGTATCTTGCTAATTGTATAAGACCATATATATCATTTTCTGTGAATTTATTAGCAAGGTTTAGTTCATCTCCTACAAAACTGATATTTGTGAATTTATTAGCAAGATTTAGTTCATCTCCTACAAAACGACATTGGAACGGTATAAAGCATATTTTTTACTATCTCCAAGGAACAATTAATCTTGGCTTATTTTATTCTTATAACTCTCAACCTGAATTATTTGGATATGCTGATGCTAGGTATTTATCTAATCTGCATAAAACAAGGTCTCAAACTGGTTATTTATTTACATGTGATGACACCGCTATTTCATGGCGATCTACGAAACAATCAATTGCTGCCACTTCTTCGAATCATGCTGAAATAATTGCAATTCATGAGGCCAGTCGAGAATGTATTTGGCTAAGATCAATGATCCACTAAATGCGGAAGAATAGAGGATTGTCTCCTGAAAATAAAAATCCTTCGACTATTTTGTTTGAAGACAATGCAGCTTGTATAGCTCAATTAAAAGGAGGATATATTAAAAGAGATAGAACGAAACACATTTCACCAAAATTCTTCTTTACACATGATTTGCAAAAGAATGGTGAAATCGTTGTACAACAAATTCGATCGAGTGATAATCTGGTAGATTTATTCACTAAGGCATTACTGACTATAACTTTTAAAAAATTGGTAAAAAATATTAGAATGCGTCGGTTGAAAGATCTCAAATGATATTTGAAACAGGGGGGAAACTAATACACAAGAATATTGTACTCTCTTTCCTTCACTAGAATTTTTTTTCCCGCTAGGCTTTTTCCTAGTAAGGTTTTAACGAGACATATTCTTTGTGTAATGTTGGACATCTAAGGGGGAGTGTTATGAAATAATATGGATGTCCATTTAGTTTTCTAAGAAGTTGATATTCCCCTAGTACATTAATCTTCTTACTAGAACAACACAATGCATGTTCTTGAAAGACTAAGTTCATGGATGAGTAATTAATATGATTCATGTATCATTATCTTAGTTTGTATATAAATAGAGGTATTTCCTACCTCACTTTGTAATAGCAATGAAGAACAAATGAAATAAAATTTATCTCTACTTCTCATCTACCTTTTCTTCTCTACTTCATTAGTTTTACAACATTATTATTATTTAAGGTGTTACCATTGAAACAATCTTCTTCAGAAGTGCTAATGAGAACTTAATAAAAATGCAATTATGGAAAATTTAAAGGGTATATATCTAACTAACCCAAATTAAAATTAATTTTTTGGCACAAAGTTTGGTAAAGCAAATTATGAAGACTCAAGAATCTATCTATAGTATATATGAAAACATTAAGTATAGTTGTCACTTATCACTTAGCAACTTCTTAGCATGTTAAGGCTGCTAAACTTCTACTTCTTCAGTAACTAGTTATCTAATAATAGGCTAAAATACCAATTTAACACATAAAGTGACACACTCTTACTAATATGGCCTCCTTCATCCTTTTCTTCTCCCCTCTATCGCATCCTCTCTGCTTTCCTCTTTCCCAAAATACTTCCTCCCCTGTTGTCTCCTTCCCAAAACACGCGCGCGCACACACACACTCTCTCTCTCTCCCCCTCCCCCCTCCGCCCTATCTCTCTCTCCCACCATCATCTCCTTCATCCTCCTCTTCTCCCCTCTATCTTATTCTCTTCACTTTTCTTCTTCCCAAAATACTTCCTTCCCAATTTTCTCCTTCCCAAAACTCTCTCTCTCCCCCCCTCTCTCTCCCTCTCTCCACCATCTGCTTCATCCTCTTCTTCTCTCCTTTCTTACTCCCTCTCCTCTTTCCTCCTCCCAAAATCCTCACCTTCACTTCCTCCTCTCCTCCTCCACCCACGTTCCTCCCCTTAACCTCTCTCTATTCTCTCATCTCATTCTTCTAGTCTCCTTCCCTCCTCTCCTTTACTTTCTCTCCTCTCTTCCCTCAAACACTAACATAAAAGTGGAGAAGGGAGTGGAGGAGGAAAGTGAGGGGAGTGGGAAGAGAGAGGTTGAAAAGAAAGAGAGAGATTGGTTTTTATACAAATATTTTAACTTCGAGGATAAATTCGTAAGTGTGAGAGATATGAGGGATATATATACAAAGTTTCATAATTTTCTTGCACAAATTAAAATTCTAGCGACGGGAATATATTTAAGTGGTTAACTGTGTCAATTTATAGGTGTTATTATCGTTGGCGTCACTTTTTAGACCGTATTGGTCAGAATGTGTCACTTTATAGGCTAAATTGACATTTTGGCCCCTAATATCCTTTCATGGTTTTGAAGCATATCATATGCTTCTTTTAAGCTTCCTGCATGTTTATCTATACTAGTTGAGATGCACGTGCAATGCACGTGGTTGAATATCATGATTATTTAAGTTGATAGAAATAGAGTAAAAATAAAAAAATAAAGTTTTTTGTGGGATTGATCAACTCAATAATCTCTCTCTCAAATAAAATATTGTCACAAATTGAATCCTAATAATGACAAATTGAATCCTAATAATGGAAGCTATCTCTCCAACCTCCAAGCTCTTCGCTTGTATCTTCATCAACCTTTGGAGTAAAAGTGACACCAACTCGAATCTCTCCACAGTAAGTCTGATCGGCGAGGACTACTCTGTGCTTGCAAGTATGCAGCTCGCCTTTCCCATTCTCCATTCCCAATAAGATCACATCTGCCACATTGATCCTGCATCGAACAAAGCATACGCGGCTCAGCATGTGTACTTCGACTAAAGTATCCAACTATAGCAGCTATTTACTTTCATGGTACATACAGTACATCTAGTTGAAAATTTTCATTAAATGCTTGAGAAATTGATTGTTTGAAACTTTTGAAGTTGCCCAGTCTTTTCTCATGTATCTCAGCATGTATACTTTGATCAGAGTATCCAACTAGTAGATATTTGCTGCTTTGATATCGATTTTCATGGAAAATAAAGTAGATCTAGTTGATAAACGTGGTTACTTGAAAAGATTTTGAAGTTAAAAAGTACTTTTCATAGATACAGCTCAGCGTGTATACTTCAATTGGAGTATCCAACTAGCAGATATTTTTTACTATTCAGATAACTCTTTTGATGGAACATAGAACAATCCCAGTATCTGAATTTTTTTGAGAAATATAAGCTTTGTTGCTGATCTTACGTTGCCTGGCCGACAAAATCATCGGCCGTGAAGGTGTCTTGGTCCATGATTCTGAGGATGAGCTTGTGCTGGCTGTTGTCTCCGGAGTACTGCACCAGAAACTTAAATGTCTCGTTCCATGTAGGATTTGTGCCTTGCCCTGTTACATCATCAAATTTTATATCAATCATACATAATAATGAAATAATGAAAGAGAAAGCATGTGCGATATCTCCTCCCCAATTCTTGCATCTAGCCATCATTTTTACATTTCCTAAGGCCAAGTGGTGGGGTAACTGTTCCTCCAAAGCTTATACTACGATAACCTTATCGCTGATCCTAGAGAGCTTATCATTTGACTCTGCAAGCAAAGAAGTCCTTCATACAATCCTTCTTCTATAGAAATCGATAATTTTTATTTACCGAGTAATAGTAAGGATCTGTGCATAGGTGTACTTGTTAGAAGCGCGTAGTTAACATCAAATTATATGTTGTTTTGAGGTCAATTAGCAATATCTTGCTTCATGTATGCTTATAAAATGCTAATATTGACCAATATCTAATGTTACTTGTACAGATACTCTACTAACATTGATCTTTAAAACCTTGTCGGAATTACATGAATAAGGAAAAGAAAAATCAGGTAATTAAAAGAGGAGGAAAACGAGACTTCTTTTCTTTTGAAAGATGAGGCAGGATACTATTTTGTTCTGTTCTGAAGTTTGAAACGCAAAAATCCATAATTGGTTAGTATAAAGTCGAATGAGACTGGCACTTTGTCTTTCCAGTCAAAAGTATGGAGGCTACAAAATGCATCCAAATAAATCCAACCATTAATCAAGACAAACCTCCAGGCTGTACGTACATATTTTTTAGGTAAATCAAAAGAATGAGCTTGAGCTTTTTTAGCTCTTTGCCAAAAACTATCACAAACTTGGTTTATTACTAGAAAAGAAATTTTACAAGAAAATATTTTATCATGTTTAGAACAAAATATGATAGCATTTATTAAAGGGTAAATTGCTCTTAACCCCCATAATATATGCTTTCAGCGGCACTTATTACTCTTCAATTCATTTACCAGTGGTTTAAGTTCTGCCCATTCATGAGGAAGAGTGATTGTCTACAATTTAGAGTACTTCCTCTTTGACTCAAAATTCATGGGGCCAACTACAGGGCAAAGTGGGACGTGACGATTTATTGGAATTCTAATCAAGATCAATAGCTATAACAGAGACATGATTTTGGGTCTAAAATTAATTTCTCCTACAGCTTGCTTATCTTTCTTAGAATTTGAATGTCAATGCCATGAGGGATAGGTGCTAATAAAAGAGTGGAGGGGTGGTAAATTCTGCTGAAGGTATAGATGAGATGGGTTATCTGCATTTTACTGTTTGTTACATGCAACAAAAACTATATAATCTATTTTGTTAAAACACTAACCGTTTTTTTGGTTAACGAAAACATATTAGAGCAGCTCCAACCATTGACTGCATTTTGCAGTCCCCACTGAAGCATATTCTAAGGAATATGCCAAAATAGAGCTTCGCAACTCCAAGCACACTCCTCCATTTCCAACTCCATTTTAATTTCTCTCAATTTAACAATTCTTTTACTTATTTTAAAAATATATAAAAATTATAAACTAATAATTAAATAGGGCATAAGTGGAATATCTAAAAGTAGTTAGTTAGTTTGAAGGGTAAAATAGGAATTATTTGAAGCAAACATAGAAATAAGAATTGATTTAATAAACACATGAGTTATTTTTTTAAATATATAAAAATAAGAATTGATTTTCTAATACATTTTCATTTTTAATTACTTGGTTTTTGGAATTTTATATTTTGATTAATATTATTCAATATCAGTCTCATTTTGAAGGTATCGACAAGACATTTCCAACTGTAAAATTATTATTTAAAAATAATTAGTAGAAATAAATTTATGTTGATTTTAAATTACTAGTTACTAATTTAGAAGTAATAAGTAATTGTTTATAAAACATTAAAAGGGCAAAGTGTGTATTTAGAAAAATTTGCAGCCACCTGCAAATTTTGAGGGGAGACTGCATATTTGCAGCCCCATTCCCTCCGGCTCCAAAATCGCGTTGGAGAAGCTCTTAGAAGCTTTATTTATTTATTTATTTTAGAATTTTTCTTCAAAAACTTCCTTCTACATACCTATTTCAAGTTGTGCCAAAAAAAAAATCTTCAGTATATCCTTTTGTTTCAATTACAACTTCTTTAAGAATATATATATATATATATAAAAACTTTAACAAATGGGAAGAAGATTTGAACCTCTAGCGACGCTGCTGGTCTTCTCCTGATTCCTGTACTGAATGACAACGTAAGGATCCATCTTCCCTGAAACCAAACCAGAAACTAAAACACCCATTAATAAATGCTAGATTTTTATCAGAAAAAATTTCAAAAAAAAAAATAATTCTATTGCGCGGACAGAGAGGATCTAACCAATCGCTTCGGTGTTTAGTAATCCTTTGGCGTCGACCAATTTCACCTCCAAAATTCCCTTACCCATCTCTCTCCGTTTTGATCTCTCCTTGAAAGAAATTGAAGAAAGAAATGATGATTTGGTGATGCTCTTTTTTTTTTTTTTTTGGATTTTATAATGTAGGGAGAGATCTCCACAACTGAATGGGTCTTTCTCTTCGGAGTGCGCGAGGAAAATGAGGTGTACATTCGCAGGGGCCTAAAAGTCTTTTTCTTTTTCCTCTTTTTACTTGTTTTTGTTTATAATTTCTCCGTCCTACGCGTTTCTTTCTCCTCCTAACCGCGTACATAAGCTTACCGAGGGGTGACGGTAGCGTCCGCAATCCGAAGGGTTGATTTGTATTTGGTTTGAAATTGGAAAATGATACAGGCACACTATCAACCACACCTTGGGGCACACTCTCCTCTCTTAGCTACAGTGTACGGGGCCCACATGAATTTTTTTAAAAATTTCATGTGGGTCCTGTGTACTGTAGCTGAGAGAGGGGTGTGTCTCAAGATGTGCTTGGTGGTGTGCCTGTAGTGCCCCCCTTTGAAATTTACTTGAAGTCGGTATGCTATCAGGACCCTCTATTCTATCCGTAACCGTATCCGATTTTAGCGAATTTTTTGAATAAAATGAAGGAACCCTAACGGATGTCGGCTCAATCGGAAAGAAATTATGCGAAAGCTTTACAGAATTATTATGAAGCTACGCGACTAGAAATTGATCCCTATGATCGAACTTATATACCCTATAACATAGGACTTATACACACAAGCAACGGAGAGCATACAAAGGCTTTTTTATTTATATCTATTCATTCTATTGTTTTTTTTCCTGTTCTAGCTCGGCTAGGTGGGATAGCCGAGCCATTCTCTTTTACGAAATATAACAAAACAGGTCAAGTCAAACAAATAAACAAAGAAATTTATTCAACAAGTTCAACAAGGGAAAAAAAAAGAAAAATGAGAGAGAGAGGGATTCAAACCCTCGATAGTTATCGAAACTATACCGGTTTTCAAGACCGGAGATGGATGTAAATTTTTCTTATCAAGGCACATATGTATCATTATCCGTATCCGAGATGAGTAAATGGATATGAATATGATAAGCATCATATACAAGCCGTACCCGGACCGAACGCACCCCTACACACGGTGCAAGTTTCTAATAGAATTCTCTCAGTGAATCAGTTATATTTACAGCAAACGAAACGAAGTGTTACCATGCAGATTTGGGGCACGTGTGATAGAATCCGGATAGCAAAATTTGAAAGGATTAATAACAAAACGCTGATATTGACGGAACAGGAAAGAGACGATATATTAGAGGGAGAGCTTGTTAACATATACACCTTTTCTCTAAAAACCTTGTGAAGGTAAAGAAATATGTATTGCCAACGGTTGAGAGATGTCCAAAAGATGATACTAGAATCCATTAATTACACTTTAATTAATCAAGGGACAGTAAACTTCCATGATAATAAATTAAGGAACTGTTTCTTCCCTTTCCTTCGTGCGTTACATAAACTTTTAAAATAACTTTTTCCTTTTAACTTTTTTACTTTAATTTTATTCGTCCAAGATACCTAGTTTTATCCGACATTGAACTTTTCACGTTTCATTAGATTCCAACTGTACTGCCTCTTAAATTATTAAGGTCCAAAGGGTTAAGAAAGAGGGGTTAACGAAAATGATTAATGTACTTAGCCCATTCGATAATCTGAATGACTAAATTATTAATCCGTTAAATAAGTTTTATTATAGCCGTTGTGATCAGTTTTAGTGTTTGGGAATAATAATGATTTTAACTATTTTTTTATAATTAGAAGGGTTAACTCTTAATCCTTCTAAATAGGAGTATTAGTAAACCCCTCATTTTGAGGGGTTAACTCATTTTGAGGGGTTAACTCATTTTAATCCATCTAGAGGAGTTAGCTTAACCCTTCTATATTTTTTATGTTTGACAAATTATGGAGGGCTAACTCACTTTTGTAAGTGGTTTTGGCCTCATGGGCCAAAATTGTTATCCAACCGCTAAAATGTGATCCGGTTATTATGGAATATCTCATATTCTGTGGGATATTCTCTAATCGAGATCTGGCGTTACGCAGAACGGGGGATAGCGGAGAAATAAGAGGCGGTAATTTGGGGACGGAGGGGGTGGGGTGGAACGCCTATAAATAGAGTGGAGTAGCTCTCCTCTGATTATTAATAAGTCTCCATTCCGGAGTCCCCAAATCAATCTCTGATCTTCTCCTCCCTTCAATGGTATCAGAGCCAGTTCATCCCCAAATCTGAGTTTTTTTTTCCCCATCCACCAAAGTCCCAAACCCTAGCTTTCTTCCCACATCTCCTTTCAAAATGTTGTGGCGTGTAAGGCATAGTGGTATGTCTCTTAATGCCATAATGAATGCAATAGTTTTCAAATTCCTTTGAATTGAATTCTCCGCCTCTATCAGTTCTTAACACCTTAATATATCTTCCAAGTTTCCTTTCCACTTCTGTCTTGTATCTTTTAAAACATTCAAATGCTTCTGATTTTCTGTTTAAAAGATACACAAAAGTATACTTGGAATAATCATCTATGAAAGTTATAAAATATTCTTTATTACCACGTGTCTTTACGCTTAACAGACCACAAATGTCAGAATGAACTAACTCTAAAAGTTCACTTGCCCTCTGACCTTCTGAAAATGACTTTCGAGTCATTTTCCCTGTTAAGCAGTGTTCACAGGGTAATGTCCTTACACCTGTCAGATTTGGTAACAAATCCATTTTAATTATCTGATCTATCTTTCTATTACCAGGGTGTCCTAGTCTCATATGCCATAGATCAAAATCAGATAAAAGACACGAGGAATAAAGCAAATCAGAATTCTTATTGCAAGTTTCAGGTTTTACAACAATAAGACAAAATAAATCATGTTCGGGTACAAACTTACCCATAGCAAACACTTTCTTGTCTTTCCCAATAGAGACCCTATTGTTGTAAAACCTAACTTCAAGGCCTTTCTTCAGGAGGGCTGGGACGGAGATCAGATTTCGTCATATGCCAGGCGCATAAAACACTTCCTTGAGAACCATGATGCTGTCCCCAAGATCCAATCTGTATGAACCAATACCTTCAACATCTAGGTAGGTATTGTTCCCCATGTAAATCCTTTGATCTCCCTTCTTCAGCTCCTTGAAGTCGCATATCCCTTCCTTCGTCTTTGCAATATGTCGGGTAGCTCCCGAATCAATCCACCAGCCACCAGCGTCAGTAGTTGCAGCATTGCACTCAATGACGCCGATGAACTCCCGCTTACCGGATCCTCCTTGTTCTGGGCGTTTGGGACCGCCCTTGTTCTTCGCCTGTGGACAGTTGGCTTTGAAGTGGCCGAACTTCCTACAGATATAGCATGATCCAGGAGGTCCTTTCTTACCGCGAGCACGTTGCTGGCCAGGTCCTTTGAAGGAAGGCTTGACAGGTCCAAACTGATGAGTTCCTTGTGCCTTGCGATAGTGAGCTGCATTTGCTTCTTCTTGCTGCACAAGGTTCACATCTGAACCTTTTCTCCTAGCTAGTAAATCTTGTTCCATTGCTAACTGGGCTGGCAAGTCAGTAACACTGATGATTTCCTTGTGCCTTGCGATAGTGAGCTGCATTTGCTTCTTCTTGCTGCACAAGGTTCACATCTGAACCTTTTCTCCTAGCTAGTAAATCTTGTTCCATTGCTAATTGGGCTGGTAAGTCAGTAACACGTTTAATAGTTCCATTAAGCCTAAGTGTTGTGGCAGCCATATCTAGTGACAGTGGCAAGCTATTCAAAATAGTTGCCACCTGCAATTTCTCAGGAATTTCAGATCCTGCTGAAGCTAGGTCCTTAGCCATGACAATC